TATAATAATAACTTTGATGGAATTTCCAACGCATTTAAAAATGGATGCTGCTTATTTGGGCTAAGATGCACTGCCTTCGGCAAGAACTTAATATTTCACAGTGTGAGTGATGATGCAGGCTCATGTCATAAATTAGCGATCGTTTATTTCTATATTCTCACAGTCAGACCTATTTACATTGAACTCGGAGAATTACATTTTAGAAACCCACTAGTAATCGGATTATAGATGCGCCAAGGTAGATAACTCAAAAACATTTTTTGACGTATTAATTAATTTAATCATGACTGCTACACAGTAGTCACTGACGTCTTTGTTTACATGTGTTGTACCATGCCGATAGGCGTATACGTCAGCAAGATTTGGTGTTACACACTGTGTAAACGTACGCATGGGATTAACCCGAGGTATTTTAGAAAACTTGTGAGTACATAGTATGAATTGTTTTTCAGTAGAGGTAGGATAGTATTTATGTTGTGAAGAAGCTGGTCAGACACGATTTGGGGAAAATGTTCGCAAGCTAAGATTTTGAGATGTGATTCAGACACGAGTTTATGAAGATGTTCGACAGTCAAGATGTTCGCCAGTCAAGATGTGAAGATGTTCGCCAACAAAGATGTGAAGATGTTCACCAGTCAAGATGTGAAGATGTTCGCCAGTCAAGATGTGAAGATGTTCGCCAACAAAGATGTGAAGATGTTCACCAGTCAAGATGTGAAGATGTTCGCCAGTCAAGATGTGAAGATGTTCGCCAGTCAAGATGTGAAGAGATTCGCCAGTAAAGATGTGAAGATGTTCGCCAGTCAAGATGTTCGCCAGTCAAGATGTGAAGATGTTCGCCAGTCAAGATGTTCGCCGGTCAAGATGTGAAGATGTTCGCCAGTCAAGATGTTCGCCGGTCAAGATGTGAAGATGTTCGCCAGTCAAGATGTGAAGAGATTCGCCAGTAAAGATGTGAAGATGTTCGCCAGTCAAGATGTTCGCCAACCAAGATGTGAAAATGTTCGCCAACCATGATGTGAAGATGTTCGCCAGTCAAGATGTGAAGATGTTTGCCAGTCAAGATGTTCGCCAGTCAAGATGTGAAGATGTTCGCTAGTCAAGATTTTCGCCAACCAAGATGTGAAGATGTTCGCCAGTAAAGATGTGAAGATGTTTGCCAGTCAAGATGTGAAGATGTTCGCCACCAAGATGTGGAGATGTTCGCCACCAAGATGTGGAGACATTCGCCAGTCAAGATGTGAAGATGTTCGTCAGTCAAGATGTGAAGATGTTCGCCAACCAAGATGTGAAGATGTTTGCCAACCAAGATGTGAAGATGTTCGACAGTCTAGATGTGAAGATGTTCGGCAGTCAAGATATGAAGATGTTCGTCAGCCAAGATGTTCGCCAGTCTAGATGTGAAGATGTTCGCCAGTCAAGATGTGAAGATGTTTGCCAGTTAAGATTTCAAGATGTTTGTCAGCCAAGATATTGTCTTAATACGTGAAGCCAAGATCTCTCATGCGCTTGATGCAAGCGATACTTTCATTGGTCCATTTCTCCATGATCTACCCATCTACATCCAAGTAATCAACAATCAAAGACAGCTCTAGGGGATTTAGCATCTTTTCTGTGTGAGAGTATTTCGCGTGTGTGTGTGTGTTGGGGGTGAGGATGGGGTGATCCCAAATAGGTTGGAGGGGCGGGGATGTGGACGGGGGTGAAAAGACAGATGGGAATCAAGGGAGTCGTAGTAAGAAAAAAAAATTGGTCTGAAAAGTAGTAGGGGTGGGGGTGTGGGGGAGGGTGTGTTCTGTCTGTGGCGATGTAATCTTAATCCGGTCTGTGTTGACGTAATCTTAATCCGGTCTGTGTTGACGTAATCTTAATCCGGTCTGTGTTGATTTTTCAACAGGTGCGGAAAGTGAAAGGCAGCGAAATCCTAGGCTAAAGGTTAGTGTGTTAGTGAAAGGGAAGATAAACCTAGGCTAAAGGTTAGTTTGTTAACGAAGGGAAGATAAGCCTAGGCTAAAGGTTAATTTGTTGATGAAAGGGAAGATAAGCTTAGGCTAAAGGTTAATTTGTTGATGAAAGGGAAGATAAGCCTAGGCTAAAGGTTAATTTGTTGATGAAAGGGAAGATAAGCTTAGGCTAAAGGTTAGTGTGTTAGTGAAAGGGAAGATAAACCTAGGCTAAATGTTAGTTTGTTAACGAAGGGAAGATAAGCCTAGGATAAAGGTTAATTTGTTGATGAAAGGGAAGATAAACCTAGGCTAAAGGTTAGTTTGTTAACGAAGGGAAGATAAGCCTAGGCTAAAGGGTAGTTTGTTAATGAAGGGAAGATAAACCTAGGCTATAGGTTGATGTGTTGATAAAAGCGAAGATAAGTCATATTACTTGCCATATTTTTTAACAGCTTTTATTTTCAAATTTAGTATGATAACATAGACATTTCAAGACTATTCTGTGCTTAACCGTGTCTAAAATACACAAGTAATTACATTTAACTTAACGTTGTCTAAAATACACAAGTAATTACATTTAACTTAACTTTGTCTAAAATACACAAGTAATTACATATAACTTAACTTTGTCTAAAATGTAATTATTAAAAGGTTATTGCTATCGCTAAACCTATGACTCTACCTTAACTATTGCCTAAAAAAGCTTTAAAGACAGCTTAAACTACTAAAATTAACCGTAGCTATTTCTAAAATATGCTACATCCATTCCTAAAACTAGCTCTAACCATAAACAAATGGCAGAAATGCTTATATCCGCCAACTACAGAAGAAATACGCAACATGCTTAGATCCTCTCACATACTATATTTAGCTTCTATTTATAGGCATGCATATTTTTTGAGATTTTGAATAGAAGTATTGGTTTTAGAATTTAGACAGAGGCTTGATAATTTTATATATTGTTTTTTTTTTACAAGACCTGTCCGAATTGTGTGCAAAAGTGCATTAGTATTATATTTCTCATGCCTTATATCTTACTGAGGGTTAGGCGTAGTGGTTAGAGTTATGATTAGATTTAGAGGCTAGGGGTAAGGTCAAGCATAAGGGTAAGGGTTAGGTTTAGGGTTAAGATTAGGGATACCCTAAGAAAGTAAAAATAATGATTTTTTTCAAAGATCGAATATATATATATATATATATATATATATATATATATATATATATATATATATATATATATATATATATGGACCATGCGGGACACGACCTACGAGCACGCCGAACCTCTCCCCTCCGTCGCTCTCCAGGCATGCTCAACAGACCATATCGATACCACCCCCAGCTCACCAGTCTGGTTTTACAATCGTGGAGCCGGGTCGAATTAATGATGGCTATTAGGGGCAGATAATTTCGTTTTTAAACGGTTTGAAACTAAGGGGAGGTAATAACATGTTCTGCTTGATATTTTCATTGTCACGGACGGCTGCTTTCACGAGGAGGAAAAGGGGGGGGGGGGAAGTGAGGGGGGAGGATTATTGTCCTTCACGAGCTACTGATAGCGTTTTACAGCAAAATATTTTCAGTCGCAGCATAGGTAGTGTCGAGTTCACAAATTATGAATTACTGAGAGGCGAAAATAAAACAACTAAATAGCGGCGTATGCTCGTATGAAGAATTTTACCTGACTGAAAAAAAATGTGTACGATTTGCCATTTAGATATACATTTTATGTAGAAGTGTTTGTGTTGATACTTTGACAATGTCGTCCTACTGTAGAGGAAATACGCATCTATATTTATAATTCTCTTCTGGGAGCCGTTAGAAAACAAGCTGCAAGCGCGCCTTACAGTCCCCTCTCTATCGCTACCACCCCCTACCCCCCACCCCCTCACATAGTCTGGTGAGCTGTGGTTCACGCTGTTTACATTTTACAATCATAGAGACGGGTTTGGTGACGGCTATTAGGGGCAGATAATATAGTTTGAAACTATTTTAAACTTAGAGGAGGTAACTAAGAGGAGGCTGCTTTCACGTGGGGGGGGGGGTAGTGTTTTTAAGCAAATATTTTCAGTGGCAGCATTGGTACTGTCGAATTCACAAATTATAAATTACTGAAAAGTAGAAAAAAAAAACAACTAAATAGCGGCGTATGATACGCAGCGGGTCGGCTCGTTCCCTTATAATCCTTTTACATTCATTCGAGGACAGCAACCCATCTAGGAGAGATAACTCCGAAATCAAACAGGAGTGGGGCCCCTTAGGAGATAGGATTACCAACACTGGTTTCCTTTTAGCAGCTCCTACGACACAGCTGATAACAAGTTGTACAGGTAATGCCCTGTCCCTTGGGTACATCAGTTGTTTGGCGTCAGGGGTGGGGTCTGATACATGGGCAACTCTTCTCAACTTAGGGCCCAGGCTTTATGCTTTATGGTACCATAAACAAACCTATACCACCATGTCATGGTATCAGGGGCGTAGCGTGGGGGGGGCGGGGGGTGCGGACCGCACCGGGTGACACCATTTAGGGGGGTGACACCAAGGCAAAAAATAGCAAAATATATAGAGAAAAACTCGAGGGGGGGGTGCAAATCGAAAGTTTGAGGGGGGGGGGTGCAAATCGAAAACTTGAGGGGGGGGGGTGCAAATCGAAAGTTTGAGGGGGGGTGCAAATCGAAAGTTTGAGGGGGGGTGCAAATCGAAAGTTTGAGGGGGGGGTGCAAATCGAAAGTTTGAGGGGGGGGTGCAAATCGAAAATTTGAAAGTTTGTCCCTGGGAAGGGTCTCTATGCCTCTGGGGGGGTGACACCATTAAGTGCCGCACCGGGTGACACCCGACCTCGCTACGCCACTGCATGGTATGTCTAAGCCAATAATACCCATCCCATCGACAACTATTTCATGTGACTGATAAAATTCCCCTTCATGATTCCGTCTGTTAAGTTTCACTACCAAACACGACTCAATAATATGTTACTTCCCCTGAATTAAAACTGATCCATTTGTTTATCTGATTATTATTTTTTAAATCCATTTCTTGTTTATCTGAAGGCAACTGGTTTTCCCTAATCATTCTGGAATTTGTTCTTCAACTCTAGGTTTAGCATATTAAGCTACTGACAAAGTGAAAATGAAAGCTTTTACTGTTGGTGTTTTGTTTACTTGCCTCTCTTGCTGGGCTAACATTGGTGAGTAGATTTTAGTGAGACTTATAACAGATGAAATGGTTAATGAGTGTAGCTTTAGTGAGACTTATAACAGATGTTGGGGGAATGTGTGTAGTTTTAGTGAAACTTATAACAGATGTAGTTGTTAATGTGTGTAGGTTTAGTGAGACTTATAACAGATGTAGAGGTTAATGTGTGTAGTTTTAGATATTGAGTAATGTTGGAGTAAATAATTTTATTATAGCTATACGTATTACAGATATATGGGCAAAGGTTAAAGTATCATAATTTCTAGACATACAGCAGATACAGAAAAAAATCATTGATTACATTAACATTAAGATTTACTCAAAAGTTTAGCTATCATGGGTCTATATTTTTTGTATAACCAGTTCAGATTCGAGGTAAGAACATATTTACTTTCGTACTAATTTTTAAAAATAATTTTTTCCTTTCTTAGCTAAATAATTTTTTCACCTGAACGATTCTTTCAGCTAGCTCAGCGGTCGTCTGCCCCCCACCCATACCATGCCCTCCCCCCCTCCCGGGCTGCAACTACGTGACGGACGAGAATAACTGCCAGACCCAGTGCGCAATGGTGTGCACCAGATGTGCACCAGTTGCATGCGACATGTTCTGTCAGTATGGGTGAGTCACAATCATACTATGCGGTCACTTGACTATTAGATTAGTCCCTTGACCATCATAACATGTGGTCATTTGACTATTAGATTAGTCCCTTGACCATCATAACATGTGGTCATTTGACTATTAGATTAGTCCCTTGACCATCATAACATGTGGTCACTTGTCCGTCATTACATTTGTTCACTTGACTATCATTACATTAGTTACTTGACTATAATTACATCAGTCACTTGCCTATATCATTTAATGTGGCCCCTTGACTATATCATTACATTTGGCCACCACACCATCACTACATTAGTCACTTGACTAACTTTTCATGTATCGCTTCACTATTATTACGTTTGGTCCATTGACTCACAATACATTAGGTCATTTCATAAACCCTTCACAATACATTCACAAACGTACTTAGTTTTTTACTTTCTCGTATATACGAAGTATAGAGAAAGTATTGTAATCGTGCAAAAAAAAAAATCGAGATTTTTGCAAATCTCGACGTTTTACACCTTCATGAGTTGGAGAAACATAGTTTTGCAATCTTGTCCGTATGTCTGTGTGTGTGTGTGTATTTGTGTGTGTGTGTGTGTTAGTAAACACGATAACTTGAGTACCGTTACAGCTATGTTGATGAAATTTCATATAGAAGTATTATATCAAAATCGTAGATCCGTCTCAACTTTTGAGCTTATTCCGATAACCGGAAGTAAAACTTTTTTTTTTACTTTGCATTTTTCAAAAGCCTGTAACTTCAGTACTATTTTAGATAGATATGTAAGTAAAAGATATAATTATCTACCTTCTATCAAATTTTGAGTAATTTTCGTTGGCCGGAAGTAGTAATTGTCACTATTTCCGATTTCTAAAAAAACGCATGTGAATTTCTAAAGTACTAATAATATTCCGCACTATTATACACATCTTTATTCGGCGTTCGCTTGTGAGCAATTCTTTTTGCTATGAGATTCTATTCTATTTTAAAAAGTTTAAGTATTTAAAATGGATTAAAAATCATAACTATATCCCGAGTTCCCATCCCCTGTTGTTTCCAATAAGAATATTCGAGAAAGTTTAGGGGAGATCACTCCCGGTTTATTCTATTTTAATACTCGCACCACTATATTAATGTGTGGATCAAGACCTGTAATTTTTTTTAAAAGTATATATCGCATGATTAACACACTACCCCAAATCATTTTTTTTTCATTAAATGCACTTAATACAAACACAAGCGCATTTTTGTTATCTCTGAAATTTTCTGCAAAATGGTATTCGACGCTAGTAGTGGGTAGGTAGGGTCAGGTGGGGGGGGGGATGGGGTGATACAAATTTTAATATCTAATTTACGTCCGCATTAATTATTGCTTTATTTGTATTATTATTTAATCATTTATCAGGTTAAATTAATTTCATTATAAAAAAACAGGTTTTTAAAATCCGTTCTAATTAAAAAATGTGTGTTGTTATTCCTTTACTAATCTTAATGAATTAATTGACAATTAAAATGCACTAGAATCAGCCATACATTTTGTTTGACATTGGTGGGAAAATTGACAGATAAACAGCTGAGAAGTTTTAAAAGAAAAATTCGTCAGTTTATCTCCCTTAAAAACCAGATTATATAAGCGAAAATTCATCAGGGGAAGGAATTATTTTTTCTGATCAAAAGGCGTGTGTGTTGGGGAAAAGAAATATCGGAGGTATTCGGAAATAATTTTGAAATTGTCCTGACGGGGTTACGTGACCTGGAAATAATCTTCTTTTGAAATGTTTAAGAAAAAAACATCAGATTTTTAATTTCCATTGAATATATGTGTGGTTGATGAGAATAGCATACCTGGTTGTGATAGGGGGTGTGGGTGCGAAAGCGTGGGGGTGTGAATGTAGGGGCGGGTTGGGGGGTTGTGATGTTTGTGGTATGAGGGTGGATATTTACAAAATGTGAAGCAAAATGCATACAATATTTGTTTAAAGAATGAATTGACACAAAAAAATGTTTGTGAGGTAGGAATTGGATTAATTTTTCGTTTAGTGGCTGTAATTGTCATTTTAGAGAAGAGCGTTTTTTACGTGTGAAAGCAAGACGAGAGAAAGGTAGGAGGTAGGGGGGGGGATCTAAAGCTAGAGAGGTAGGGGTCTAAAATAGAGAGGTAAGGGGGTCTAAAACTTGAGAGATATGGGATCTAAAACTAGTGATAGGGGGTCTAAGACTAGAGAGGTAAGGGGTCTAAAACTAGAGAGATAGTGGGTTTTAAACTGAAACGACATCTGATTATAAAAATAGAGAGGTAGGAAGGTCTAAAATTAGACAATTAGATTCTAAAACTAGGGAGGTAAAGAGTAGCTTTAAATCAGAGTCTTCCGGATGTACCACACTGCTGTCTAAAATATCCCCATACATACATACAAAATAAAATGACGTCAAAGACTAATCGGTACACGAAAACATTATTTCAGTCGTGTTAATGTCTATGAATGGCTGATTAAACTCTGAATACTCCCCCCCCCCCCCCAAAAAAAATGTCTACCATCCCGCGAAGGAAATAGAATTTATATAGAAAATATATACATTTACCACTGTCCACCACCCCTTGAAATTTTAGTCCATTTGAAAATTTCAAATGCCCCCTTCCCCTCCCAGAGAAAGAAGTCTGGAAGAAACACTGTTGTTACGTTTTAATTTCATTGAACTCTGATCCGTAACACTAGCCTGCAATAGATAACAAAGTCACTTGCGCGTCTAGTACTTTGACTTGTTTTTGTTGATTTTTACAAGCTTTTATTTAACTCGCTTCCTCTGTCTGTCGTCAGTCTGTCTGTCTAGATCGAAACGCCCGTGCGAAATTGCAGGCAGTTCTAACTGACAGATACGGTTCGTAATTGGTACGTGGGTCAAGACTTGAAGACGATGCATCGTGACATTCAATTTGACTTTATTGGTCGCCTAATTAATTTTGTATGAATGAATTCAAATTTGGACCGAATTAGTAGGTAGTTCTATCTACACGCGTCATCGCGTCGGGTCAGCAGTCTGGTTCTTTACCACAAGACTACGCCATCCCATAATACTTTACTGAAACTTTAGCTATAAATTTGGCCACAGACTGAACAGTATTAATGTCTTTGGTTAAAGAGGTGTTAAAGATTTGTGTTCTATGATATGTGTTCAGCTAATTGTGGCAATTTTTGGATTGTAAATAAAACATCAGTAACTGTGACACGTATAGTATATCTAATCATAATATTAAAGCAAAACTGTTTTTCAAATTGTGTATCATATATTTGTTGCTACACAATATTGTCTTAACATGCTTATAACTCGTTAGGGGTCGTCCATACATGACGTCACACTAGTAGGTGGGAGGGGGGGGGGGGTCCGTAATTTTGTGACGGTTTGTGATGACGGGGAGGGGGGGTCAGATTGTGCGACGTCACACTTTTGCATTTTATTAAAGCAATGCTAGAAAACAAATTTTAGACGTTATTTCGCGTTTAAGAAAACTGTTTTAATAAATTGTAATAGGAATTGACTAAGATACTCTATTTTGACAGAGTTCAGACAAGATTTTAGAAAAATATCGACGTTTAAAAAAAAATTCAACTTCAATTTTAATGGGGATTGTAGGCTGAAGTGTGACGTCATTTTAGGGGTTTTTGTGACGACATGTGACGTAGGGGAGGGGGGGGGGAGAGGTAAAAATCGTCCAAAAAAGCGTGACGTCATTTATGGATGACCCCTTAATACTAAAAAGTATAAAAATAATAAATACACAAAAACGTTTATAATTACAAGCTTTTATAAATGCACTAAAAAGAAGAAAAAAATACAATTTTTATTGAATATAAAATAATTTTTAAAAATATACAAAATCTGCGGTTACTTTAAATATAAAAAAAATCACTTTCTTTATTCTTCTCTGTAGACAACAGTGTCACGTGCCCGTCTAGTGCTTTGACTTGTTTTCGTTGACTTTTCTTCCCCGCAGGTTTGAACAGGACGCCAGTGGATGCGAGCTGTGTGCGTGTAAGCCCGACCCCCTCGAGTGCCACATGTGGATGAAGTGTGCCAGCGGCGTCTGCCCCAACAGCTGTGGCTGTCAGCCTAACTGTCAGTAGTCCAGATGTCATCCTAACTGTCAGTAGTCCAGATGTCATCCTAACTGTCAGTAGTCCAGATGTCACTAGTCCAGATGTCAGTTGTCCAGATGTCAGTAGTCCAGATGTCATCCTAACTGTCAGTAGTCCAGATGTCAGTTGTCCAGATGTCAGTAGTCCAGATGTCATCCTAACTGTCAGTAGTCCAGATGTCAGTTGTCCAGATGTCAGTAGTCCAGATGTCAGTAGTCCAGATGTCAGTAGTCCAGATGTCAGTTGTCCAGATGTCATCCTATCTGTCAGTAGTCCAGATGTCGGTTGTCCAGATGTCAGTAGTCCAGATGTCAGTTGTCCAGATGTCAGTAGTCCAGATGTCATCCTAACTGTCAGTAGTCCAGATGTCAGTAGTCTAGATGTCAGTTTTATTACCAGCATTTCACATGTCAGCCTCGTTGTCAGTAGTCTATATGTCAGCAGTCCATATGTCAGTTATCCATATGTCAGTAGTCCAGATGTCAGTTATCCATATGTCAGTAGTCCATATGTCAGCAATCCATATGTCAGTAGTCCATATGTCAGTAGTCTATATGTCAGTAGTCCATATGTCAGTAGTCCATATGTCGGTTGTCCATATGTCAGTTATTCATATGTCAGTAGTCCATATGTCAGTAGTCCATATGTCAGTTATCCATATGTCAGTAGTCCATATGTCAGTAGTCCATATGTCAGTTGTCCATATGTCAGTAGTCCATATGTCAGCATTGTTGTTGGTAATACTGAACATCACGAACTAATTACGTTATCGAAACACTTTATGAAGGTATTTTTAATTTAGAAAAATATTTGAAGCAAAAAATAAATAGATCTAGAAATAAATTGCTTTTACTAAGTTATAAACCGTTCGGACTTTCCTGTTTATTTTGAGTCTCAAGATTTTCAATTCTATAACTTTTCAAGATGTTGTTGTCTTTGAAGCGTGTATGTGAACATCCTTGCTCTGTCTTGATCAGAAGCAATGTGTTATTTTTAGACATGACCTAGATTTTGACCAATCTTTGGGCTGCATTTGGATGCGTAATATCTATCTACTTTTAAATTTGATTTTAAGCAAAGCAAATTTTAAGGCTATTCGATGTAAAAATTTCACTTTTTTAAAAACTTTTTTTCCTATCATTAAACAAATAAGATTGTGTGTTTATATATCTAAGTAATTTCCGTTCCTATGTCGACATTTAGACTTGTAATTCCAGGATAATCTGAAAGTCTAGACAAAATATGTTATTCTTTAAAAGCGAATGTCCTAAGACATGATTTCTTTACAAAGGAGGGGGGGGGGGTTATTCTTTTTTTTTTTAAATCTCATTCATCTTTAATAGATATTTGCTTTCCTTTCCCAAAATTCAAATTAAAAACGAATATAGCTGAGACAACAAAATAATTCTTCATCTTTTACATTTTTTTCCCAGCGAAGGCATTAATCAATCGCCAAATTCAAGGTTTAAATGAGCTCACCACAATATACCACATACGTCATATATAACCATATACAAAACTTAGGATCATATTATATTCAGGTGTCGGCGTGGTCGAGTTGCTAAACCGAGAAGTCTCGCGTTCGAACCATCCGGCAGATGAGTCTCGTAAGCTGTGGACACCCAAAATAAATTTAAAAAACTGCTGCCTTTTAGTTTGTTCTTGGTTGGACAAAAGCTATGGAAGCAAATCCAAAAAGCAAAGCAAGCTGAAATCTGATAAATGGCCTCTCTGGCGCATAACTAGTTGACACAAATACTTAATGGTGTTGGAGTGGATCCCTTCCAACATCAAAATTAAGAACGACGAAGAAGAAGATATTATACTCTATTTAAAACCACATTGGCATCTAGAACCACACTAGGCATGCTGCCCAGCTTCGCGTAGGCTTTCAAAAACATTTGAGAATTTGAGAATTTGAATGCTTAATTAATTCGCCCTAGGGTCGGTCTACGACCTCAGGAGTTATGAAGAGGTTCCTACGTGGACAAATTTTTTTCGATTTATAGCTCATATAAGGCGCCGGTCAGTCGAGGTCTGTTTTGACCCCCTCATCGTAGACCTTTAGGCCAACCGGCACCGGCCCCCGTGTTCTTTCGCCCCAAGGCAAGATCCTGCCAAATTTGAAGCGCCTGCGGCGCCGGGAAGTGCCCAATGTCGGGCACCCGACAACTTTGCTTCATATATTATAGAGATTAGCAAATTTCATAGATAAACAAAGATTTCCAAAGTAGTTCCTTTCTTTATAGTTTAAAATAGGAAGATTCCCATATAAAAAAAAATTAGGTTTGACTTGGTGTGTCCCGATACAGCACCACCTGTATATCAAGCATACTATTATCTCAGCTAATTAGGTACCATTTAAAATATGGAGAATAAAAGAAGTGTTTTAAAAAAATAACTTACGCTATTATGCCTATTTTTTTCAATTTAATTTTTTACCCATAATTAGCCAGTTTCATTGCAAAGCAAACAAAAATTTCTATAAAATATTTAAGTCCTGAAAAAGTTTATTATAGAAATTTATTTTCGGAATAGATTCTACAGTAGATAGAGTCTAAATCTAGATCTAGAATAGATCTTAGCGACGTAGCGTCTAAGTGTAGTTTTTTCGTAGATTTAGATCTAGTCTAGATCTAGAATCTCTAGATCTAGAATCCAAATAGATAAAATATTTTTTTAAGTTTAGGCCGAGAATATCGTATTGTGTAGTCTACATTTCATAGCGTACATAGCTCTAAATCATTTTTGATTGAATAGTTCATTTTTAAAAATTCTAAACTCGGAAGATGACGTCATCAGTTTCGTGATCTTGTTTATATATTTTTTTTTTTTTTTTTTTTTTTTTTTTCCTATTCACACATTCTTTTAATAAAATTTCTATACATACAAGTATACATTCTTATACTTTTTTCATCTATATCAAATCTAAAAAAAAAGCTTATCAAATGACACATCTTTGTTGCATATTTTAGGACATAATTATCTGCATTTAAATAGATCTAAGTCCAAGAGAAAACAAGCAGGATTGCCCACAAGATCAGTTGGAGTAGTTCAGCAACAGGCAGTGGTTCACTGTTGTCAGACTTGTGTCTGGATTCATTAGTCCAATGTGGACAGTTGGTTAACAGTCTTACTGTCTTATGGATAGCAGATGGCCTATAAAGCCATTTGTTGAATATGTTACAAGTCCTTTCAGGCAATCGACTCTTAATTAATGAGGTTTTGATAGCTAACTAAAATCAGTTCAAGTTTAGTCCTGATATCAGCTTGTCATAAAGATCTACTTTAGTGTCTATTACTATCTGGTGTACATAAGAGGGGATTAAATATAGATTTTATAATATTAAAGATCAGAGCGGTCATTTTTTTTACTACTCACATGAACAATGTCTTTAGCATCCTTATACTTATACCAGATTACAAAAGAACAAAGTGACAATGCGCACAGAATAATCAGTGATGATACAGGAAATTCATTTTGTTCCTGCTCAGCTTTTAACTTCATCTCCATGTAATTCTGGTATGCTTTAAACTCTGCAGCTTTTCTTTCACGGTTTACGTTGTAATGTTGCCGATAAAAATCATCAAAGTTGTAGATTTTGGTGTGTCCTCTAGGGGCTTTGGGCCTACGTTTTTGCTGCTGAGACGCATTACGAAAAGCTTGTGTGTAATCTTCCTCTGCTTCAGGGGAGCTTCTCTCACTGCTCATGTGACCATGATTATAGACCCCTCTATCATACATGCGTCTCTTTCTTATGTTTCCAAGGACCTCATATGCCTCATTTATTTCAGTGAAGTGAGAGTGGTCCAGAACACACTGTGCAGTGTCAGGATGGTACTTTTTAGACTTCTCATAATACGCTGACTTTATCTGATTTTGTGTGGCAGATGGTTTGAGGCCAAGAATGTCGTAGTAGTGAAAGGCTGATTTGGATGCAGTAGATGAGAGCCTATAAATGTTACTGACAACACCTTTTGGTCCTAGTAGTTGCAGCTGTAGGACCTGATTCATTTTGTTCATAGCTTAGTGGGTCATTCTAGTTCTATTACTTCTGTGGATAATATAATTTCATTATGTAACTTAACATTGACCATCCATTACGCTACAGTAAAATTGTTTATCTCTTCATTTCTAATAATATTTTTTTTTTTTACGTGATCTTGTTTTAGTGTTTTAGTGTAAACAATAAGCGACGTCATTGTTAAATGAGTTCTTGTCCCAAGTTTATATACTTTTCCGGTTGCATAAATAATACTGTTTCTTTATATTCGAATACGCCTTTATTTTATATTTTTCGTCTTTAAATAAAATTGTGGTTATACATTTAAAACATCTAGCATATTATTTTCAACAAAAGTCCGTAAAAAGTTCTCGATATATCGCTGTAGATTCTGATGTGATGTCCGGCGAAAATATTTTGCGGACAGACAGAGAGAGAGAGAGAGAAGTGCGAACGTGGCCTATTATAGATTTAGATACACTTCTAGAATCATATTAGCATCTAGAACCACATAAATAAACATGTACAGTTTTATAAACCACTTAAAATTATATAAACCACTAAGAAATATATAAACCACTTAGAATAATATAAACCACTTACAACCATATAAATCACTTAGAACAATGTTAACCATTTCCATGTTGACGTGTTATTTTTGTTTACACCATTCTAACCTACATTTATCAGCCATCGAAATAAAATTGGAAGTTACTTCCGGGTAGAAAAAAAAAGCTTGACTTATCTGCCCTCAATACCTCGTAAATAGCTGAAAATTGGTTGGGATTTAGTCTTAGAGAGAGGGCTACTTTCAAGGATGAAACAGGGGGGAGCATGTCCATTAAACTGCCATGTTGTTCCCCCCTCCTTCAAATGTAGCCACTAAATTTGTTTCCAGAGGCCTCCAGCCTCTCTGGCCAACCGGAAGTTAGGCACGTTCGGGTGACTCCCCGGAAGTCAGACACCTTTATTAAACTTTCTGAAGCGTTTCATTGGCTATTTAACGTGCTTTATGGGAAAATAAGTTGTGACTTCCCCTTGACCCATTTTAAGGTGAAGGTCGTCGAAATTGGATATATGGTTTCTCTGTATGTATATATATATATAGACATTTATATATATATATATATATATATATATATATATATATATATATATATATATATATATATATATATATATATAAAGTTGGGTTGCCACTGGGGATAGTTGGATAAACTGGGGGAAAGTTGCAGTAACTAAGTCGAAAAGGATAAATGGCCCTTGTAAATTATTGGGACCATCGGCTAACTATTCGTTTTATACGTTGCTGTATTTATGATAAACTGCGATAATTGTAGACATGGTTTATACAAAGTTATACCGTTTGGACATGAGAACTTTTTTCAAATCGTGGGACACTAGCTCTCCACTTAGCCAACAAAAAGCTATCACTAAACAGTTAGGGAGGGAAGGGTTTGTGATTGCATTTTACACCTCGATAAACACGCAATTTGACCCTCCCCTTCCCCCCCCCCCAGCCACAACGCACTCACGAAATTCCCTTATGACCCTTGCCTTACGTCATCATAACTGAAGACGTCGGTCAGGATTATAACCTTTCGACAAATCCTATTAATCTTAGGATAATCCAACAGTTTCACTTCACCACATAACAAGCTAAAGACGTAAGCTTAATCCAGATTAACGTCATACACGGACTCAATTAGCCTAAGATAATTTTTCTCTCAAACGTAAACAATGGCTGGGATTAGAACAAGTAGGGTAGGGTGACTAAGTTCATCAAAAGTCAAAACACAATGTATGAGTGATTTACTTCGTCGGTTCAATAACTCAGCTTTTAACAGTACCCAGCATAGTT